TGATGAGTGGTGTATGATGAGTGGTGTATGATGAGTGGTGTATGATGAGTGGTGTATGATGAGTGGTGTATGATGAGTGGTGTATGATGAGTGGTGTATGATGAGTGGTGTATGATGAGTGGTGTTTGATGAGTGGTGTATGATGAGTGGTGGTTGAACAGCTGTTGAATGTCCGTAACACGGAAGTTTTGCACACTAAACTTCCTTTGAGCATCTATACAAGGTAGGAGGGGTTCACCTGTGGGTACCTCCACAGACCACATGAATTATGTATGACTGTATGACCTATTTCGCGGGGGTGAAGCCGAAGGCATCGAGCGAAAACTTGCTGAGAGGTTGCTTGGTCCGGATCTTTTAAACAAAAGACATCAACCATCTTATCCTGGCCGAAAGCGCGTGGACGAGATGCATTTCCCCGTCAAGATTTGTGAAACCCCTGATGCACCAAAGAGGAGGCTCCCATTTTAGCGTATCGAGGAAACAAGCAGGACATAGTGTGTTCCAAGAATCGGCCGACATTTTTGAAGTTTGTGGCTTGAAGTTTCTAGCTTTTATGTGGGGGGGATTTGAACTTCAGGCGAGTCGAAGACCAACAGAACAGGCTAAGTCTTCTCATTTTGGGGTATCCACACAGGCAAAAAGCTTTCCGTAGTGAAGCATATTCAGAATGACCAACTCGTACAATGTAATCCCACATTTTTTAGGATGTCTTGGAGCTGCTGGTGCGGGCCATTGTAATCCTCTGAACCAGTGCCAAGCCCAATGCCGTAAGATTCAAGCTAATGAGGCGCCGATTGTGGTCGTAGGACCTTCATTTGATTCGAGAAATCGAATGGGATGTTTATGAGTAGACCTAGTATGACCACGCTTCTCTGCAAAGCTGCTTAATTTGGTTGGGAGAATCTGGACGGATGATATCTGGGCTCCATTGGGACAAGCTCTGAACGCGCTGCATTGACCAACTGGTTTTTGATCTTGCATAATTGTTTGCCACATTTTATCAGCCAAGAGGCATGTTTGTGTGTCCCTACCAATGCTTTTGTTGCCAATCTTCGCATATTTGTGAAATGCGCTTCTCGGATGTATTGACTTTCGGCGCCATAGAAGGGTGGCCAAGCAAAAGTTTGGAGTTTAGACGCCCTGTCATCAAGAGTTAGATGTTGTCTCTCGAGTCTGTGCATGCGTTTAGTGGCTGCCATACGGCACTTTAGGCAACCAAGAACAATACGCCGAGTATACTGCCTGCCATTTTATTGGACAGTTTAAACGTATCGTCCATTAAAATGGCGGAAACTTGTTCCCAAAATAGTGGCATTTCCTTCTGTGTCCTCCATGCCCAAGCCTTAGCGAGATGTACCTTCATACGAAGACTGAAGATTCAAAGTTGATTTCCAGCAGCATTGTTGGGAACTTATGAAGGACCTGCACTTGTTGGTTTTGCATTTGGTGGGAGAATGCTGGCGATATAGCGACCATAGCACATACCGATCAGGCGTCACCCTCGGGAGCGCCTGTCGTTGAGGGAATGACTTGGCCTTAGCGCCCTCCAATCTGCAGAACTCTGTGAAGATTATTTTACGATCTAATCCAAAAAGAGATGTTGAGTGCTGGTGTAGTGCTCACAAAAGATGCCCCCTCTGGCCTGACCTGAACTACGTCGTGGTACACAACAGGGAAAGAACACGTGGTGTTGCGTATACTGTATATATATATATATAGTCGGGGCGGGCTCTTACGACCAGCGCTCCGTACCATGAAAGCAAGCAGGGGTGCTTTTCCAAACTGAGCACAAGGGGGTCGCAACGTGCCCATCGTGTTCCGCAACGTTGAAAACCACGAGTCGTGTGACAAAGCCGGTGACATCGGCCGGTCCGGTCCAACGGTGGCTCTGAGTGCCGAAGTGCCGAAGTGCCCGCCTGGACGCGACACTTAAAGGCAGGAACAACAATGCAGACTCCTGCCTTGAACAGGGAACATGACTAAGTCTTGTCTCTAGAAATGCCTCTGATTTTTTTCTCCAAACTTCATGTAGGAGCTGTGATTGCAATAGCTGCGGGCTCATTGCTCAACCATCCACCCGGGCGCCGTTCTGTGTTGCTTTCGGGCAACCGGCCCGCGAGTTCCGGCCGCAACCGCCGGTTCCGGGTTCCGAAGCCGGTTCCGCAGCACTGGCCCAAGTCAGGGACTAAGGAGATTGGATGACGAAGTATCATATCAGTGTCAAGGCGACCTTTCTGGAGTTTGTTCCACTGGACGCCACCTCAGAGTCGCCCCTCCGCCGGTGTCGATCGTGCTCACCGCATTGGTCGCCCCCCGAGATCGAAAAGGGAAAGCGAGGAGGTGGCGCCAGTGACAGTACCGCAGCAGAGACTGAGGATGTGGTCTTGAACTCCAGTGAAGACACAGAAGATTGCAAGGGCCAGCCCCAGGTGCTGTACAAAAAGCACCGCAGTAACTTATACAGGAAGATCAACAAGGAGATCTCATCGGCCTATTGTACCCAAAGCCTCCTGAACATCATCGACAGAAGCTTGGGCGACATGAATGCCGTCAACCTCTCCACTTCGATCCACCGGCTGGCCCGTGCCATCGGTTCCCACGAATGGGACCCAGAGGTTTCTCGAGTTCTTGACCGGTTGCTGGATGCCATCGAACATCAGGCGGTCTCGGAGCTCGAGAGGGGCGCGTCCAAGTTTTCTCCACGCTGCGCCACCATCATCGCGTGGTCTTGTGCAACACTCCAGGCAATGCGGGGATGCCAGGGCGAGGCATTGCAATGGGAGACACATGTATGGGTGATAGGCAATCCATTTGCAACTTTGTTGAATAGCCGGCCGTATAGGCTGCGTTTTGGCGGGGTGGGTCTTTGGAAAAAGATGCAGTTGCCACTGGAGCATGTGCGGTTTCTGCAACTTTTTGTGCTTTTTGCAGGTGTTTCGCTTGCGGCTATTCTCGGTGCTCATGACGATCAGCTTGCAAAGTTTGCAGTCCTGCCAAGCTTACGAGGTGACGAACCTTCTTTGGGCTGTGGCTCAACTGAGCAAGCAGCACCCTGGCGGATTCTTGTGGGGTCGATGTGGAGGATCTCAACGTGTAGCAGGCCCTTAGCGCGAGGTTTACAGTTGATAGCATCCCTGTTTTCGGGCTGGTCGCCTTTGCGTTCTCCTCCTCCTCCTCCTTCTTCTTCTTCTTTTTCTTTTTTATCATATCTTCTTCTCGGGCTCCCGGCGGAACATCTGAGGTCTCCTGAGCCTGTCTTGATGCGCGAGGTTCAGGAGCTCATTACGGCCTCCACGAGTTTCTTCCGCGATTGCGACTCCTTGGGCCAGGTGACTCCGACGTTCTCGCGGCTCTGGGCTCCAGGGATTGCTCTTTTCTAGCGGGCGAAACGAGCGGTACGTGGGGGTGGGTGTAGCGGTGACCGGAGGTTCGGCGTCACGTGATCCAACCTGAGAGGTTCAAGATACCTGGTTCAAAGGAGAGCCAAATATGGAGATCCACAGTGTACCCTTGGAAGGTGCTGGTAGATTGTGGAAGCCAGTGGCTGTTGAATGGCTGCAGTTGTTTTTTTTGGCGCCGTTTTGCATTCCGCCCCCCGCTCCCCACGCGCTTGTTACGGTATTTTCTTAAACATCTCCCTCACCCGGGCCCATTCACTCCACCGGCTGTCCCGGATGGAGAAGCACCCTCTTCCTGGGCCGAGCCACCCTCTTCCTGGGCCGAGCTGTGGCGGCCTCTGCCAGGTGAAAGCGCAAGTCTTAGTCTCAGCCTTGGTCTCGGTGGCCGACCTCACCGTCGACGGTCCCTCACAGGCCGACCGAATCCGTCGTGTGGATTCGGATCGGAAGACGAGGATTCGGGGCTTCTGGGGGACGTGGTTCTCACCGGATGTTTGGCTTGGGAGACCCCCGAACTTCCCAACTAAGCCTCTCCATCCTTCGAGGCTTGGCTATTCCAGAGCTTGTGCGAAATGCTGGTGCCCAAATGTCCGGAGCTGTCCTTCTCAAGCAAGACGCATATCGTCATGGCCTTCCAGGCGATGCATGGGCGGGACTCCCATTTTGTGGAGCCTTGGCAGCACCATTTTGTCACCCAAAAATGCCAGATGGACACGAAACAAGAGCCGCACCTTCCGATTTCTGTTTTCCGGGTCCTCCTTGAATAGTGTAGAAGGTTCTACGTGTTGCTCTGAGGTTCCTTATGTCCTCCAACAAAACAGACAGAAACGCCCGGCCGGACGGGCCGGACGGCTTCTCTGAGTGAAGCAGGTCATGTTGCCCCCCCCCGACGAGGACGACCCCCGGGACGCCCGAACACATCGTCGTGACTTGGGGAGGACGGAGGAAAAAGGCGCCACGGATGTGACTTGGTGTGATACATTCCTTGGTCAGGTCTAGTGGTCTAGTGTACTTCTATCAAGTCCCCCGTTCTTCTGCGTTTAGAGGGCAGTTTGAGATGAAGATGAAGCAGGAGCAGACTACAAGACTGCTGTCTTACTGTATGTGTTTGAATGGTGATGGGTGCTTTCAATACGAAGCGGGGCCGCCATTCTCCCTTTTCACACCCGGACCCTGTGAGGATTTGTGATGTGAAGAGTCAAGAATGTGATTTGAATTAGATGGCATGAACGGCAAACGGCACCATGAGGGAAAGGCTTTGAGTTCCAAATGTGTGCTCTACTCGTGGCTGAACGTGGTGCCAATTGGTTTAGAACGTGCTGCCATTTGTTGGAAGGGAAAGGAAGCCCGGACCAGGAGTCACAAAGCGGTGCCTATGGAGGATAGGGGGTGCCCAGAACATCCACTTACTGAGGGACAAAAACCACCCCTTTGTGACTCCTGGGTGGGGCTGCATGCTGGCCCAGGAGCGTTTGATCGAGTCTGTGTCCGAGCTGTGCCCCGAGTTGATTGGAGTCTCTCCCTTGAGAACGTCCTGAGCGAGAAGCATTCGCCGCCGTGCCGCTGACTTCGCCAATGGTGAAAAATGATTCTGATGTTTGCCCGCCAATAGTCTAAGACAACTAGGCCTCCTTTTGCTGTGAACCCTTTGATTTGCAGCGCCTGACTGGCCCATATCAAATCATGTTTTCTGTGGTTCGATCTTCGTCCCTGCCAGTTTCCTGTTGATTGCTCCCAACACTCATTTTCCCTGTCATGTGTTAGAAAGGTCTCCGGGCGGGGGAAGAGCGAGCAGCCTGACATAGTCTAGCCTGACCCTGGAAGTCCAGCCTGACTACTTGTGACGCTGAAGAAGAGGCCATGAACCGTTCGGATCAGCTAGTCACCCATCAAAAAGGAAAGTGAGTCTTGGACTGCTTGGACTCCCAGCATTTAGGGCGAAATAGTATCCTTGCAGCTGGCGTGTGGGTCCGTGGCACTTGGAGGGTCACCGCACTGGAGGTCCTCTGGGTCGCGGATTCCGTTTCGCAGCCCAAAGGCTGGTTTTCTAGCCAATCTATGCAGCCGTTTCAAGCCCAGCCCGAGAAGGTCATCGATGAGGAGGGGGCAAGATGTTCTGGATATTTATTTCGACATTTCAGCTTGTTTTTTTGGACCTCTGAGCAGCATTCTTGGAAGAAATTGATCCAGACGATGGCTTCAACTCCACTCTTTGACTGAACCGAGGCTTACTTCATCTAACATTCGATGTCTCAATCCCCGAATTCGTTCCGCCTCTCTGCGTTCTGTGCCGCAGAACGAATCTGTGTGGGATACGTCTGATCCCCCAGGGCCTTTCCGCTAAGGCCATTTCAAGCCAGCTGCGCCGGCCGCCCGGCCCGGCCGAAGTCAGAAAACGTAGGCGCCGAAGTCGCCCGCGGTTCAAGCGAAAAAGAGAAGAGCAACATCGGCACATGTCGGGCGGCCGGAGAGCCGAAGCGCCCGATCCGGGACCAGCTGGCCAAGCGGCTCAAGCCCAAGGACGGCGAAGGCCCCGAGGAAATTCCCGGACTCGGATCACGGTTTGTCAGACCATTTCTCCAATTATCCCGGCAAGAGACCCCAAACAGTGTGTGTGAGGGGTGTAAGCAGAAAGTCTAGAGATCTAGACGCATTGGGGTCCAGAGAGGTGATGGTGGTGATGAAGGGAAGGTGGGTGCGAGTGAGTGTGGGTGAGAGTGAGTCTGAGTGTGAGTGAGAGTGGGAGAGTGAGTGTGAGTGAGAGTGAGTGTGGGTGAGAGTGAGTGTGAGTGTAAGTGAGCGTGAGTGAGAGTGAAGGTGGGTGTTAGTGAGTGTTGGTGAGGGTGAGAGTGAGAGTGTGTGTGAGTGAGAGTGGGAGAGTGAGTGTGAGTGAGTAGTGCGAGTGTGAGTGTGAGTGTGAGTGAGTGTGAGTGAGCGTGAGTGACAGTTGGTGAGTGTCGGTGAGAGTGAGAGTGTGTGTGCGAGTGAGAGTGAGAGAGTGAGTGAGTGCGAGTGTGAGTGTGAGAGTGAGAGTGGGGGTGAGAGTGAGTGTGAGGGAGAGTGAGTGTGACTGTGAGTATGAGTGAGACTGAAGGTGGGTGAGTGGGTGTGAGAGT